TGTGAATTTTCATGTGTATGTGTGCTTTTTTTCTCCGGTTACAAACTCGTATGTGTGTTTGTTTCTCATGTGAATCTTGGATCATCAACTGCTTTGTTCAGCAAGTGTCATTTATTGAAATTTGCAGCTCCTAGATTTTGATTCTTGTCCTAAAATGAAATTTACCATTTTGAGGTTCCATCGTAGGTTTTGATTTTGCTGCGGTAATGTAATGGCTGTTGCGTTATCAATTAATGTAATTTCCTCGTTTAATCATAGGCACACCATTGGTTTGACTTTTCGAGCGGCTTACGGTCTAAATTGAAGATCACTTTCTGACCTTTTTTCTTTTGCTCTGTGTTTTTGTTTTTTTAACCTAGGAATTTTATGGCTAGTTTAGACTTTTTGTGGGGGTGAGGATTTTTAGTTTATCCTTGATTTGGCCTATTGCTAGTCAATGCTGAAATCCTTTAGAATCTGCCATACGCGTGATGAATAGGCCGTAAATTCAAGCAAATGATGGCGTCACTTCACAAGCTCACATATGTATCATGTAATTTAGTAGTCTATTAAATCACAATTCATAAAAGCTTAAACATTAGTGTATATGCTGTTTCTTCTTTAGATCTTGAACTTGGTTAGCTAACTACACATGTTAGCATTCTGTTTGCAGCGTTTATTCTTTATGGTTTCTCCCTTAATAAGTTTTGTTTTTTGCTTGTTCTCATGGTTGGCTTTTGTTATCTAGCCCCGTGTCGCGATCTTCGTAACAATTGCTCTGTTTTGTCCCATAATTTCAACTGCCTTGCATTTTCGGTCCACAGAGGGTTTGAGATGCTTGAAACAATAGGCCAAAATTTTATCCCTTGTAATTAATTGATCTTTTCGTACTTTCTCTTGGGCAGATTCTGTGGGCTTTGCCTACACGGAAGCACCTCGGACGTGAATGTCATAATTGCGCAAGAAAAAGAAAAAGAAAAACTAGAAGATTGTACAACACTACTTATTACTCCATTAAAGTCCACATTGACTGCTGAGCGAGATGAGGGCACCCCAAGAATCTCAATCTTCCACTCATTACGACAGCTTCTACAGCCGACCTACGCAGCACGCCAACACATATGGTTTCCCCACATTCCAAATTCTCAACAATGACTCGGCTGGCACCAAAAAGGGCAAAGGCACTGAAGTCTCGTTCCAGGCCTGCACTGAACAGTTCTTCACTCTCGAGTCAACCCCCTTAGCTGACTTTCCCAACTACAGCTCATCCTCGGGCCCGAGCGTCTCGTCCGGAAGAAGCCCGTTATCTCCCCCAGGCTCCCAATCCTACGCATCTGATTTCCACCATACGCCCGTCAACACTGACCACGGGTCTCCCCTGAGTGGTTCCTCTGGGGTCGAGGATGACAACAAATTGCTGCATGCGCTTTGGGTGCTTAGGCACGAGTTGCTGGGGCCCGAGTCAGAAACCGACGATAGCGGCTTCTACAATGGAATGGCCGCAGGCCCGCCCCAGCCTTCCTCCCCCTTCACTAGGTACAACAAGA